CCAATCACAACACACACTGGCCCAGCTAACCAATCACAGCACATTTCGTATTTCAGAAGGCGGGCCTTCATTTGATACAGGAATTATTTGAGCCGTTCATGCCAGACTGGGGAGAGAGGTGCTGTAATAATGTAAAATATGTGAAAATAATGTGTTTTTCGAACAACCTAGTATGAGAGCCTGTTCTAGTACACCCCCAAAACAAAATCAAGACTTTGTAAAAGAGCATAATAGGACCCCTTTAATGATAGTCAAGCAACAAAAGAAAAAGAGAAACTTCAATCTTTGCTCTTGACTGAATGACTTTAGCTTTAATAAGCATTATTCCATCAGTTTATACAGTGAAGACTATGCAGTTTTATTTTAGATTTTATTAATTTATTCAGTTTCTTTGTAGGCTATTATTTACCTGAGTACTACTGTTAGACCTTAGTTTTTTCTCAAGTATAAAAATTATATATAAACTTTATAAATCTTAACACTAAAAATGCCTTCATACGGGTGCAATTACAAGTAGATGTTTTATATTAATTTGTTTTTATAACAATATGCAGTTTCTTTCTTATAGATTGTTACATTTCAGAATATAAAGCCATTCAGGTTTTTTTTTTTTTTTTTTAATTGAAAAACAAACAAACAACAACAAAATCAATACCATTAAAGAACTGGACTGATGTGCAGTGTCGTAAGAATAGTAATACTGTTAAAACTTTAATGATACCCATGCCTACTTAAGTTCCATCTCATTAGTTTTCATTTTTACTTTCATTAATTATTGATCACTTTTGCTTCGAGTAATTATTGATTAAATGTTACCTTTTTATTAATACATTATCTTCATTTTTTATATTTAATCAACTTTTATTGTCTGCTAATTGTATTTGCATATGGAAAATGTTTGCTTTTTGGGCTTTCTGTTTTAAATTTCTCAATAAAACTTTTGAATTGAATTGAATTAGATTGGATTGAATTGAATTTAAAGCCTTTATTATCATTGTATTTTTCTGCATACAATGAAATTAGGAGCACTGCTTCTGACTGGTGTAAGAAAACAAACATATAACCACAGACAATAAATAAGACTATTGACTGTATACAGTACAATTATAAAAGTATATACAACAAGTGACTAAGTCATAATATTACACATTGAGCAATCAGAGAAAAGTGAGTATTGACAGTACTGCACATTGACCTCTACATTGATATGAAATCTCTAGTGTACTGAATCTCTAGTGTACTGAATATCTAGTGTACTGCATCTCTAAGTGTACTGCTTCTCTAGTGTACTGCATCTCTAGTGTACTGCTTCTCTAGTGTACTGCATCTCCAGTGCACTGCATCTTTAAGTGTACTGCATCTCTAGTGTGCACTGCATCTCTAGTGCACTGCATCTTTAAGTGCACTGCATCTCTGGTGCACTGCATCTTTAAGTGCATCTCTGTACTGCATATCTAGTGCACTGCATCTCACAGATCCTTAATAACAAGAAGCAATCGCTTACAGGACCGTTTCATTCCAGTTGCTGTCAGGACTTTACCTCACAAATGCACTAAGGCAAAGGTCAATGTTAAAATAATATTTCCAGTCACGTTATTCAACTACAGTCTCTTCAGTCATTCCAGTCGTTTTTTCTGTCTATACTGCTGTTTTTATACAGTATGCAGAATGTCAATGTGCAATATGATCTGTTTTTATACAATATGCAGAATGTCAATGTGCAATATGATCATCTAATCACTTTATTTATCAGGACTTTAAAGGGGTCATATGATGCAATTTAAATTTTTCCATTCTCTTTGGAGTGTTATAAGCTCTTGGTGCATAAAGAAGATCTGTAAAGTTGCAAAGACCAAAGTCTCAAATCCAAAGAGATATTCTTTATAAAAGTTAAGAGTCAGCCACACCTAACTAAAACGGCTTGTTCAAACACGCCCCCACATGTCTATGTCACTATGTGGGAAGATTTGCATAACGCCGCCCAAATGTTCAAGCAAAGAAAGAAGGCGTAACTTTTATCCTCGCTGTAGTATTGTTGTTGCTTCACTCTCTTCTGCAGACACCGTGAAAACTACAAGAAATAAAAACATAATTTTCAAATATGCATTTCTCAGCCCTTTACAAGTCTCTTGTGATAATGTCCACTGATATGCAAGTGAATGCGCAACAGAAATACAACAATCCAACGACCAATAATAACACATTACATTTTCCGTGCAAAGTGACACAAAACAACACCATACACAATATGCAACAAACACAAAGTAAATTACCGTGTGCGCCTCCCAGACCACATGCAGATTAAGAAATTATCTTGGGGCTGTATGTCCTGTAGTTTCTCTGCATCCGCTCTCAACTCAACAATGGTCATGTGATGCATTATGCTTCTTTAATGCACATGTAATTGGCCACATTTACAAAATCAGGCCATTATGTCTCTTTATGTATAGAGATAAAAGAATGAGGTTAATCAATGTGTCAGTTTATAGTGATCGTGTAGA